TGGGGTGCTGCCGGGTTGGTCCTGTGGGAACCTACCGGGCAGCGCCCCAGCTGTTCTGTCCCAGGCTCCAGATTCAGCAGCTGTTGAAACTGATCAGGCTGATTCCAGGAAGCTGGGGGCAGAGCAACTCTGCCTCCGGCTTCCTGTAGTCAGCCCCTGGTCAGTTTCAGTGGCAGCAGCTGAATCTGGAGCCAGTTCCGACTTACATACACGGGTTGGTCCTGTGGGAACCTACCGGGCAGCGCCCCAGCTGTTCTGTCCCAGGCTCCAGATTCAGCAGCTGTTGAAACTGATCAGGCTGATTCCAGGAAGCTGGGGGCAGAGCAACTCTGCCTCCGGCTTCCTGTAGTCAGCCCCTGGTCAGTTTCAGTGGCAGCAGCTGAATCTGGAGCCAGTTCCGACTTACATACAAATTCAACTTAAGAACAAACCTATAGTCCCTATCTTGTACGTAACCCGGGGACTGCCTGTATATTGTTTCATATGTTTTTAAGTGAAGTTATAAAATGAGACTTCATATTATTTTTGTTAAAGTATATGAATTTAATTATAGTATGAATATTGGGGAACACTAATATAATGGAAACCAAAGTACAAAAAGTACAGTTAAGGATTTTGTGGAACAGCCTCTGGTCCACAATTTAAAGACTGGATTGTACATACGCATATGTGCATAACTGTACTTAAGTTGAATGTGACTGCAGCATCGGGATCTAAGGGACGTTTATACATTAAAGGGTGTTTGACAACTAATTTCATTTCTCTTAGAGTTTGTACTTTCAGTTTAAAATTCCATTTGTACAGCTCATGGAATCTTCTATATTTTAAAGTTTGGGGGATGGAATAAAAATGGTATTAATTGTGACATAAAATATAGAGAGTTCACTGCTCGAGGTAAAGATCATGGGTTACCATCTTGGACATATTGATATCTGTGGAAACTTTGCTATTCACTTCAATAGGGCCAGGATTTCACTCCATAGTACTGTTTTCTATGATCAAAGAATGAAGTGCTAGACAGTCATGTTGGCAGACACATTAACTCATTGATAAAGAGAATTGTTTAAATTGTGTGTTTTGTTTCTAGTTCCCTTCCTACGAGTAGCCTTATTCGGATCCTCCGAATGCAAGACCCTGAAAGAGGACAAACAACTCTAAATTTTCAGCATAGACATCAAGAAGAGGAAGAAGACTAAAATTAATAAATATTTTGTCACATTAATATGCTATTCCTAATGTTCAGATTTTTTTAGTATAAATGTATATAATTTATATGTCTGTAATATTAAGGGCTTATCTGTACATATGATGCAGCAGCATACATAGTGGGGGTAGGATTTCTAAAGCATACCAACATGTTGTGCACTAGTTGGTCTGCGTATACCCTACTGGTACACTAAAATTTCCCTAATGCACTTTGCTCCACAGTTCATTTAGCCAAACATGTATTTTCTTATTTCAGGTTAGGAGAATTTAATTAAAAGATATTTCTAGTTGGAGGAGAAAGCTCCTTTATATTTTTATAGTGAAACAGTTTTGTAATACAAATGTAAATGACGTGTATAATTTTAGTAAAATTACAATTCAGTTTAAAAAAAGTTTGGTTCGCTGGAAAAAATTAAATGAAAATGTTCATTTTGTTAAACTTTCTTCTTTATCTGCCACATACTGGAGATTCAAAGATGAGATATACATTTTGGGCTTTTCTGAAAAATTGAAATATATTTTATATATAATTATGCTGGAGAAAAATCATTTAAAAATTCTTTTAAAACGGATATAAGTAGTAATGCATTTATAGATATTTAAAAATAAAAAGTGTTCAAGTACATATAAATTCTGCTAGGCTTTTATTTTTCAACACTGTTCAAGAAGATGTTAAAATGTAACTCAATATGTTCAGTTTTCAAGATTGGATTTTGCTTTATCAAGCATAGAACCATGGGGCATTCAAGCAGTTTCTGTGATTTGTTTTGAGTATATCAGCAGTGTTTACATATTTAACTGTGGGAATATTTGCAGTATCTTGCCTCGCTATTTTAAGAACAGAACTACTTATGTGTGAAAGTATAACAAAGAAATAGGTACTGAAATTTTTGCACAATTCTTTTAAAATTTGTCTTCTCACCCAAAATTACATAATGTTAGACATTTTATTAGGTAATACATTCAATTAAAATGTAAAATGTGTATGGTGTAATATCAGAAATATCCATACAAAAAATCTAACAGTATAGGCAGGACAACTTGCGCTTTCCAGTGGGGTGGTGGGGAGCAAGTGAGGGCAGCCAACTTCAGCAATGTTTCTGAGTATGTTCAGTACGAGACAAGAAGCAAATTGAGAGGAGGGAAGGACACAACTTTTCAGTGTACCGCCCAGGCATCACCTCTAACTATAGGTAGCTGTCATCCTAATGTTAAAAGGTCTGTACTGCTGTGTTTGCATGCTTTGTTGGTGCTATAGAATGGGAGAAAACACATTAGCTTAAATGTCTGAGTTTCTGAACCAGGCAAGTTGTTGCCTAAATGGAAGGAAACCAAACTCTTCCTAACTTAACTGCCAAGTATATTTGAACACTTTTACTATATTTGTAAAAATCAGTTGGAACATACATGTACAGTTCTCAAATGGAAGTAGATTTGCTATATCTAGAACAAGATTCTTAAATTTCAGTATACATTCTCATTACTAAAAAGTGCAGAATTTGTTGACAAAATAATCTTTGACTGGAAAAATATGCTCCCAAGCGGTTCTCTTTATATACCATTTGAAGCGCTTGGAGCATCAGCATAATAAAACTAGCAACATCACCTTTTAGGACGTTAGATCCCTGATTCTATTTAAACAAAGCATGTACAGATTGAACCTCTGATCTGGATTTCTCATATCCAGTAACACCCTTGGTTTGGCGCTGTCGGTGACCTCACAGGTGCTCTGGGGCACTCTCAGGGAAAAAAACAGATGGCTGGGGCCAGGAACATTGCCAGACTAAGGAAGAACGGAGCCCCTAGACCTTAAATGACATATGCTCTATAGAATGTGAGAAAATATGCAAAATTAAAGACAGTTATGTTTACTAAAATGTATATCAGGATTAAGATCCATGTGCAATAGACTGTAAATTTACAGTAGTTTACTTTTTTTTGCTTTTGTACAGTTCTGCTTCTGATTTTGTACTATAAGTAAGAACAATAGTACAGTGTTAACACATGCAGGCATATTATACAATAACCTTACTCCTTTGCTTTTGCTGTTGCACAATGTAGAGGGAGGTGCTGCTTTAAAAATAAAAAAAGTTTTTGATTAGAAATTACTTAACGTTTTTCGAATAACCAGCTATTTTAATTATTTTTTTTCCATTTTGATGACAAATTTAAAATTTGTCCAGAAAAGCTATTTTACTTTATCTGACTTAGAATCATAGAGCTGGAAGAGACCTCAGGAGGTCATCTAGTCCAGTCCCCTGCCCCAAAGTAGGACTAGTCCCAACTAAATCATCCCATCCAGGGCTTTGTCAAACTGAGGCTTAAAAACCTCTTGGGATGGAGATTCCACCACCTCCCGAGGTAACCCATTCTAGTGCTTCACCACCCTCCTACTGAAACAGTTTTTCCTAATATCCAATCTAGCCCCCCCCCACTGAAATTAAAGCCCATTGCTCCTTGTTCTGCCATCCGTCACTTCTGAGAACAGCCTCTCTCTCCATGCTCTTTGGAACCTCCAGTCAGGAAGTTCAGTGGTCCAACTTTTCTTTAGCTTCAGGAGGGTGAGAGTTTCCCTATGGACTTATATTTCCATAGTGCTTTTGCATAAAGTATAGAAGTAACAAAGCAGTAGACAACTGAATTGATTCTGATCAGAAGGTGATGAAACTAATAGTGTGTTTCATGGGAAGATATTATGGTGAAGAATCTTCAACATATATAGACATGTAAATCCAATGTTTCCTGCCTTACTACTTATTCATTGACTTGTTTGGAGATGTTTATGACTTCAAGCGTAGAGCCCATCTTGGGTTTTTTTACTCCAGAAATGCAGAGATTATTTGCCTTGTTTTTTGAGGCATGATTTGCAGAATGACAGAACTGTAAAGGCACTAGAGCTTCGCTATCTTTTCCCAACTGGCAAACATGGCTAGTGTGCATGCATTGTATTTTTTTGTCGCTTCTGTAATCCTGTAAAGCATGTTAAAAGAAATCAAAGGCTAATAAACTTAAGAGGGTTTTAGTGAGCTGGACGAGTGAGATGTTACCTCTAGTCATTCCAAAAAGTTCCAGCCATATAATGAACATATTATATGACTGAGCTGCTTATCTACTTTCTCATTGATTTTCTACTATCCTCTTTGCTTATTTTTGTTTTATCTCATTGATATTACAATGCTATGTGGGGTAAACAAGGCAGAGTTAGGCCAGCTGTAGATCAAGAGAATGGGTGCTGCTTTGATTTAGAGAGCGCTTAGAAAATTATTTAAGTAAAAGAGGATTGATATTCTGGCTGACTAGAAATCTAAAATTATACTTTCAATTTCTGGGTGAAATGATGCAATACTTTAACAATTGTCAGAAAATAAAGCAATCCCTTTTCTTCCAATGTGTGTTTTGAATTAGTAGCTTTGAAAATGCTCACCTAATAATGCTTATAGTTGTTGAATCTTAAACTTCTAATGACTGTGTTGATGCTTCTCTCTGAGGAGTTAATTTTGAGTGAGAACCTTACCCATATTTGTATGTCAATTGTCAGTTTTCTCCTTCATAATCAAAACTTTTGAGGAAGTCTGTCTCCTATCATATTGCTGTTTTTTCTTCTGTGAATTATACTGTAGAAAGGAATATTTCAGCAAAAGGAGGATTTGCTGACAGTGCCACATATTAGGGAAACCAGATACAATGAAACCTTTGTTATCCGGCACACTGTTTACCAGAAAACTTTGTTAACCAGCATTGCCCCCAGCCATGATACTGTCACATCTTCAGGCGCACAGGCCTGGCTTGGTTTACCATGATTGGCTTAACAATGTATTTAAGAAGTACTAATCATCTTTAACTCAAAATAGAAATGTGAGACCAACTGCCTCACACTACAAAACTACCAACATTTAAAAACTTGAATTTTACTGTTATTGTACATTCATTTTTCCTAGGTTGATGGGACCCTCAGATAACTAGAATTTTTAGATAACCAGAACACCCTAATTCCCCTAGCATGCCAGATAACACAGGTTTTACTGTACTGGAATACCTGTGGATAAGGAAGAATTTTGTGGGTGAGCTCTCTTGTGTTCTTACCAGCTATTTTCTTTCTGACTTGTACAGATGAGAATCTGTCCCTACTGATGCATTTGAGAACCACAGTATTTGATTTCATATAAGACGATTAATCAAATAAGGCAGTTTGGATAAGAATTAAGTTCTATTTCCAGTTCAATTTACATTGTTTTCATAGTGAAGTATTTTCCAGCTTTGTAGTGGCAGATTCTTGTAGTGACTGAATCATATTTTTTTCCTACAATAGCAACATGCTAAAAATGTGAAATAAGAATTAGGGGGGGAAAGTCAAATGTTATAAATTTATTTTGGGACATATATTGCAACCTCTTCAGAAGCTTTTGAAAATTCAAGCAGAAATCATTCTACTTCCAATAAAACTTTTTTAAACTTCCAGTAAAACAATATTTTAAACGTATATATACTTTTTAATTAAGGGAACATTTTAGCAGGATTTACTTAACTTTGTTTATACTGCATTCCTCTGACATAGCTCTTTCCAGATTGAAAGGATGCAAATGAGGTAAGAATTAAGGCAAACCTAAAAGGCATGCAAATGAATTACATTTATATTCACTGACAATACAAGCACATGTGTGGATCAGACTCGTGAACTGAGGAACTTTTGCCTCTGTCTGTCCAGTACTACTTTACAGCAGAATGGTGACATGGTTTATAATCAACAGTTACATTACCATGGGAAGTCAGTGCCACTAACATTACTCAGGCTAGGAGACACATAGCTAGCATCAGTAAAACGAACAATCAATAGTATAATTTCACTGCAGCACGGTACTGCTGCACAGGCTTCAGAGGAATAGGACTGTTATGAAATGACATTGCACACATCACATTGTGGCAGTTTATTTTTATAATATATACTTTTAAAATTCTTTAGCAAATGACATTCTCATGCACACAAGTGTTTCAAACACAAGAAGCAAGTCCATTTATAGGTAGTCCAAGCAATTTTTGTGTGTGGAAATAGCTGCAAACTGAATGGAACATCTAAACTTCTGTGCAGTCCATAATGCATTTTACATTAGCTCATTTTTGAATGTCACACTGCAGGAGTAATACAATGGAAGGATCACTCTTTGCAGCTTCTTTGAATTCATCCAGTGTGATCTGGTCATCTTTGTTCTTATCCATCTTGCTGAAAATCTTGTCTACTCGTTGCTCTGGCGTGAGACCATCCTCATTCATTTTCATCATTATCACAGTACCCACCATCTTGTAAATGGCCTTTGGAAAGAAAGCAAAGGAAAATAATTTTTAAAAATCAAAATTTGGAGTAAGTATAATTAAGTGGCATTAGTACATAGTTCTAGGTGTCATGATTATATGCAGACATGATTTTCTAGTTTGAGAATGTGATTATACCTTAAATTTAGTTTTTAAAAATCCCAAATACATTTTCTTCTGACAAGGAATAACAACCTTCTAAATATTTCAATTAAATTGATATACTGTATATACAATTTTCTTAAAAAATGCTTATTCCATTTGGTACATTAGAACTAATTTGATTCTTCAAGCAACTGAACAGCAAATTTATGATTTTCTGAGTAAGCGAGTTTCCAGTTACAAGTGGATGCATAGTTCTATTTACGACAATCCAATAGACATGTTGTTATGTAGTATTCAAAAAAACTAGAACACAACTGCAGTTCAGATGATCTATACTCTGGATCAGATGTATATGCATTTCTGGAATTTGAGGTTAACAACAAACATCAGCTCTTTGAAACATTTTAAACAGTATTTGACTGATCCGTTTCCTATAATCATGTGTTAGGGTTTCTTTTCTTTTGTTTGTTTTTGGTACAAGATTCATCTTGGTCTTGTAAGAAATTACATGGTAATTTGTTAAACACTTGACCAAGAATGAAAAGATTTTTCCATCAGGTAAAGATTTAAGCTTGTTTTAGAACTCTGAGTTTTAGAATTACTATTTTGAGGGCCTAGAGGTGTTCAGCTGTACTGTTTCACAGACAGAAAATTATCAAATGTACCTTTGTTAAAATTTAAATACACACAGGTGTGCACACTGCATAACCCTCAAAAATCATAGAAACTTTTTTTAAAATCAGTATGCTAATTGCTTTGAAAAACAACACTAAATGATGGCTCTGCATTACATCTTTATTAAAATGGAGGTCAACTGAAAGTCTGGATAAGTGTCGGGATATTCCAGTGTCCATGAAATACCTATTTTAGATTATGGAAAGTTTTGTTCAACTGGAAATACTACTGTTTTGAGTCTCTGAATAAGCTACTATATGTACTAACATTTCAAAGTTGATATTCTACACCTCAGTAATCACTAATTTGGCAACATTTTAAAGCTACTTTGACTACACATTTTTATGATGGAGGCACCTAGTTACTAATAGAATTAGCACTCAGTGTTGGATAGATACGTTCTAACTATATAATGTGTTTTGAGATGCAAACTCTTTGGTGAAAGAAATTGTTTAACGCTAGGTTAGATTTCAGTATTATCAGCCCAGCTTGTATAGAAATAGAAGTTTTTTGTGCATATGCTATGTTTTTTGCGCAATCTTCTGATGAGCTAGCACACCAACCATTGCGTGTTTGTATCAGGAAGTGTTTGTGTAATGCCTTATGGAAAACATTTGCACAAATTGTTTGTAATATGTCTTACCTCTATAATTTCCAGCATCTCCACTCTTGTAATTTTACCATCTCCATCTAAATCATACATATTAAAGGCCCAGTTTAATTTCTGTTCAAAACTACCCCTTGAGGTGATGGACAATGCACAGATGAACTCTCTGAAGTCAATGGTTCCATCGCCGTTCTTATCAAAGGTTCTGAAGGCATGTTGGGCAAATTTTGAAGCATCTCCATATGGAAAAAACTGCAAAATGAAATATAAATGTAGTTATGGGATGGTCATGGGAAAATGTTCATACAAAAATATTAAAATGAAAATATAAAATTATTTGAAAATCACAGTAAGTGTTCATAAATGCTTCAATGTATCAGAAATAATCCAGTATAAAGGCTTACTACTTAAAAATGATTCCTAGTAAAGCATCGAGCACTTCTCATAAAAAGAAAAAAAAAAGTTTACCACAAGGATGTGTTACTGCTATTTTATCCCAATCCAATACCCATCTTCAAAGATAACTTTTAACCTTATCATTCTTAAAGTGCAGCTATACACTGAGAAGTGATTTGTAAATAAAAATGATGGCACTAAGGGAGCTATCATTCCATGTTTGTGGCAGCAACTTACACAGGAAATTTTCTTAGTTTACATGTAAAGAGATGTTTACTATCTTCCAGCTTTGCAAATGTAACTTGTCATCTGAAACCAAAGTTGAGTTCTTTCTGGATCTCAGTAATATTCTGCAATTGAAAAATGTACCATAATCTGATTCGAGATTAAGTCAATAAGGGTTTTGTCATCAAATGCAGCATTCAGCCATTAGTTAACAATTCTGTTGCTGGTGGATTCTATTCTAGCTTTAATAATTCCAATTCTCGTGGTGGTGAATAGCAATGAATACCTGACATTTGTGAGAGGGGCAAGTAAACATCTTTGACTTGAATAAAATATGATAGGGTGATATTTTAGAGATTCTTTCTGGTCATAACTGCCTTTTACAGTGAGTGCCTTTAAATGGAGTATGGCTCATCAGTAAAAGTAAGAAGGAATTATTGTAACAGTTGCAATAAATACCACAAGTTCAGATGAACAGTACTCTATATTTAAATTGAGTATTTTTGCTGTTAAAAAGCAGTCATTTTTGTTTTTTATTATAACAAATTCCACACGTGCAGTGCAAAATCAAGAACATATGTTTCCTTATGCTGAGTCCTGGGGTGGGGATTCCAGTAACTTTCATGTCCTACTCACTGGAATTCTCTCCCTCATAGGCTCAGTGCAAGAAAATATTCATAAAGGATGTTTTCAAACTCAAGTTCCATTGTTCTCAATGGGATTTCAACTAAGTGCTTCCTGGCTCTGGACATCCCAGAAACCTTTTCCATTTGTAAATACAGGGAGCAGTGGCTTTTGGCCCCACAGTGAGCTCCCTGTAGCTCTCAAACTCACTACTGGGGCTGTGAGCTGTTATGAGCTTTCTGCAGCTCCCAGCCTCCACCACCTGCCTCCCTCTATGCAGGATAGGAGACCTGCAAATAGTGATTCCGCAAATCGCAAGGGTCTCTAGGTTCCTGCATCCCAGTACGTTAGGATCCAGTTGAGATCTCTGGATACTGCCATGATATAAGTCCACAAAGGGGATGGGGAGAAGACCCTTTCAGTGTTTCATCTTAACTAATGTTGAATATGAGCTGGTCATTTTGGAACCAGCACTCCTATTGCAGCCTGGGAATAGCTTTAAATCCTGGTCCTGAGCCTTAAACCACAAGACCAACCCCTGAATGCAACTGTAGCATATATATATATAATGTGGTACAAGTTGTATGGGGCTATATACTCTGCCTGTGCCCTCTAGAACAGAGCTAGTGACAAACACTACATTCAAAAGCATGAAAGGGTTGTGGGACTGAGCAAGGCAGGCCTTGGATCTAGAGGCCTAACATCCTGCTGTGCACATCCTATCAGCAATTTCTCCCTTTCTGGAGATACTACAGTCCTCCAGATCCAGTTGCAGGGGTGAAGCAGAGAGGGCCACAACAGGATTCCTTATAACCTTTGTCCTGCTGCCAGCACAACCCCGCTACTTAGTGTACTGGGATTAGGCTGTACCCCTCACTGAACAGAGAGCATGTTAAAAGATTCTTGTTGGCATGTGTGAATAGCCATTTTTATCACTTGAAAGTGGGCCCTTCATCAGGTAAATAACTTGCATAATTTCAGGCTAAAGCTACCATTACAAAGTACAATATATTTTAAAGTACGTCCACACTGCACCTGGGAGTGAGCCTCCCAGCATTGCCACCACAGACTTACATTAGCAGGGCTCTCATTAAAGCCAACTGGTTAGAGACTACATAGGCGTTATTCAGTCCTGGAGGTCTTGAGAAGCTGGGCACCACCTCCAGTCCCAACAGCTACACAGCTATTTTAACATGAGCACCACTATCACAAGTCAGTGTACCTGAACTGGGGGTTTTCTCCCAGATGCAGTGTAGACATTGTTGTACAAGTCCTGTTCTCTGTTTTCCAAATGGCTGCATTTTACACAGACCTTGCATAGGTGTAAGTGGCTATGCAAGGTTTAAGTGGAGCATTGGGCTTGAAATCTTCAGCCATATATGCAGTTAAGCCTCAAGCAGGCATCTTGTCAGAGCTAGATGAAAAAATTCAGTGTGATTATCTTGATGCCCTATTTTTATTCTGACCTCTACATGCACTTTGCTGTAGTGCTGAATGAGCTGATGAACAATGTTGCTTTCCTTGTGTTTGCCTAAAGGATATTTGTATAGCAGGCTGTTTTCCAACTTGTCAAATATTCATGGTGCATGGCATTACAGTCTCCCACCAATAATGACAGCAGCAATGTTAGGAACAAAACGAACTCAACAACATGTTGCCTGTGATATGTGTTGCCATGGAATAGTGCAGTGGTCCCAAACTATTCAGGGTTGTCTCTTGCCACTGAGTGCAAGGCAGTCAGTCACAGGCATTGGGCTGGGAAACCAGCTAGAGCCAGGCGCAATCTACTGTCAGCGGGGCCAACAGTGGGCCCCCAGACAAAGATCCATGTCCCAGAATGGGGCGGGGCCAGAGCTGCCAGCTCTCTGTGCCACCCGGAACATGGCGTTTGCCTCCCTCAACCCTCAGAGCAGCGTAGAGCACATGATACAGCATTCCAGCAGCAATTTAAAGGCCAACGGCTCCGCCTGCCATTGCTGCTGCAGCAACGCAATTGCCTCTCCACCATCTGTCGGCAGGCCTGTATGGGAACAGTTTTCCAGTTAGTTATGAATATACCCCATAGAGTTGTTCCATTTAGGAGTTTGTGAAGAAAACTAGAGTCTCATAGAAATCTAGCATCTGAGGCTTTAAGAAAAACACCAGCTATTGAGAACCAAGATACAATTGTACAAAATGGCAAAACTGTACCAAGTTGTATAAACATGGGGGGGAAGGGATCTAGGGGCAATGAAAACTCAGAGCCAGCCCCAATGTCAATTCCACACAAGTTCTGCAAACCACATCAGCACAAATATTCTAATATTAAATATATTACAGTCACGCTGTTTCACGTTGATTGTTTCAACAAGAGCATGGTGATGAGTCAACCCCTGGAGACAATTAGAATGAGCCTAATTCTACCTCGGCTGGAGTCTCTGGGAGCAAAGTTAAACTCACATGAAATGCTTTTGAAAAACTCACCCATCATCCTACTGGCTGGCCTACTGCAGAGTGAGTCAGGGACATTGTTATGGTTACTATAGTGCATGGCTTTGCAAGGCAGCATGGAGAGAGAGAGAGAGAGAGTGTGTGTGTGTGTGTGTGTGTGTGTGTGTGTGTGTGTGTGTGTGTTTAGGATATGAAACTTCACAAAATCATGCTGTCTTACAAAGTTCATGTTTAGGTCGAGAAACCTGCTTGCTGTCGAGGAGTTGGGGACTGATAACCAGTTGGCAGATCTCTGTTACTTTCCCTGGGGATTCTCTATAAATATTGTAGGAGAAAAACAAAGACACGTGCAAAAAACAAATTTCTTTTTGGTCCCTAATGTAACTAGAGAAGCTCACAAGTGTGCTTCACAATTCTACTCCCAGCAAACATCCTTAGTGTAAAGTACAAGTCCCTGGGCTCCCAGGCATTCCTTAGGGCAGGGGTCAACAACCTTTTCAAACCAAACAGCCAAACTACATCAAAATTCAGAACAAGTGATCAACGAAGAGCTGCATAAGAATGTCCATTTGCATGACAAAATATGCAATATGTCAATTATCAATAATATGAATAGCATAAATGAAATGTACTGACAGACTTCATTTAGTGGGACTTCTGCTGCTGCATCTTTTCACACATTTCTTTGAAACGTTTACATCATACTGGTCAAACGCAGCTTCATGTTCACATTCAGGCTGTCCTGTCAATCTGATGGCAGGGGACGGGATTTGTAGGTGCAGGAGTCAGAATTGGAGTGTATCAGGCTCAGGATTCAGGTGTATGAGGGGCTCAGGGCAGGGTGCTGGAGGTGGGAAATGGAGTTTTTCGGGGGGGGGTGCTGGGGCTGGATTACCTTACCTGGCCAGGACTGGGCTGCTACATCGTGGCTACCTGTGCTGCAGCAGGAGGGAGAGGCTAGGGACAGGACACTGAAGCCAGATGGGGGCTAGGCACCGATTTGGGCCTTGTTGGTCAGGCTGCAATAGAAGCAGCCGCCCAGCAACCCCAGCCCTAGCTCCGGCACACAGGGATACCCACCCTGGCAGCATCTGGGCAGCCATGATGTAGCCTGCCTGGGCAGCAGCTCCAGCCCTGAGGAAGGCTCGACTCCAGCTCCAGCACACAGGGCAGCCAAATTTGGCCAAAAGAGCCATATTTGGCTCCAGAGCTATAGGTTGCCATCCCGGGACTGCCTGCAGACTGACATCAGTGGAGGGACTGGACTGCCTTCAGCAGAATGAGGAAATGGTCTCTTGTTTCATCAGTCACTCATGTGTGCAGTGATGCTCCCCTGTACTGCTGCCAACACTGGTGTTGCCCTTAGGCACAGAGCATCCCTTTAGCCCATAGAGCAAATGCTACACAGTAAATGATGGAGACGTAGGAAATGGGTTAGGAAGATACTGGGAGCATGGACCACTGAGGAAAGCAGAGAAGAAGATCAGCTGCTAATGCTAGAGCCCTATCAATTTCACAACCATGGATTTGAAAATCAGTAAATTTCAGGTTTTTAGCTGTTTAAATCTGAAATGTTG